ATTTTTATATATAGAGGTAATCCTATATTGCTCCTGTTATGGTTTATATTCCTCACCTTCTGGTATGATAAAGGGAAAATTAAAATTAACAGGTCATAAGTTATGAATGAGCACCATTTATCATTAAACTGTTATCAGTTATCCTGGTCAGTTTTACGGCCACATCATAACCAGCCCCTCATTTATAGAATGTTCACTTTGTCTGGTTTTGTTGCAGCATGCCCCATATGAAACTAATTTACATCAAATCCACTATGGAACTAAAGAATTACAGCACTATTAGAAGTATTTTAAAGAAAGCTCAAGGAGAGAAAATTGCTCCATACTAATACTAATACACTTTTAAAATCAATAATATAAATACCTAAACTCTCCAGGAATATCTAGATCAAGAAAAAATTACCTATGAAATTTACCAGGAACGAAAAATAATAAGTATAAAGTAATAAATGAACATTAACATCAGCTCATGGTGAACCAAGAAAGGAACAAAAACTTGAAAAAAACAAGTCCAACAGTCATTTGTTGAATGCACTTATAATTATCTTCCTTTTTTTGTAAAATTACTTTACTATGAACCAACCATGATATTATGATTGAAAAAAAGATTGCATTCTCTGTGATGGGTTAAATCTCATCTAGACGGAATACTTAAGTCATGAGTCTCAGATCTAGGAGGAAGTATCTTTTCTTATGCTGACATTAGACCTAATGCTAAAGCACATTGTGTTTTAACCAGTAAATATAAATGCCATTGTACCACTGCGTGAGAACTTAACCAACAAGAATGAGATGACATGTTGCCAGTCATGAAAGATGTTGCTCACAAAATAGAAAGATTGTATAAGTCTACTGGTTACTGATTTGCTATACCTGTCTATTATACCTATATTAATATACCAGCCACTCCTGAACAAGCAGAAAAAATAAACGTAGCTTTACAACCTAACTAAAATAATGTTATTGCTGAAAAAAGCAAAGTAGTTACTAAATTACATAATAAAATGTCACCTGAATATACTAATACAGTTACTGATGTTAAGAAATATACATCATCTGATGATTTGCTTAATTTAGATTCTGAAACTTGATGGAGAATTGTTACAAGAATTGATGAACAAATTCGAACAAAAGTTAAACTGTAATAATTTTATATTTCCATGCAATTGGGAAAAGAGAATAAATTAATGAACGAAAGAGAAAAACTAGCAAACGGAGAAGATATTGACAATAAATTAGAAAAAGGTACCAAAGACAACACATTGACTATGATTTTATTCCCCAAATGAAAAAAATAAAAAAGGATGAAGAGGATGAGCAGACAGAATACTTAAAAGAGATGGACAAATGCTGAGAACTTTTGAAAACGAGTTACACGAATCATTCTCCCTAGTGTAGCGTCACGACATGGCCTTCGATGAACGTTGTGGTTTTTAAGACGGAAAACTTGTCTTCACAGGGAGACTGCGCCTACAATGAGACATCATACCATTCCGTCCAAAGATACGTGTTACAATTCAAATCCCATATTGTTCGTATTGTCTTAAAAGTATACACGTATTTAGATATATATATTAACAAAAAATAACAATAAAGAATAGGAGACATACATGTAGTGTCTATTCCACACTCATTTATATTAATTCCCAACTGATTCATTTGATCCAGCATTTTAGTGTTGAAACCAGAGCACAAACAGGTTCCGTTTCATTAAGTATAATGTCATAATGTCGTTCCCCGCAACCACAGAATAGCTGATTCAAAAGCATTGTTATAACGTTTATAGTGTTTTGCCGCAAATTGAGACCACCAAAAATGCATGTGCTTTTGCCGAATCGATGGATCTGCGTTATTTCTAATCAACTGCGAATATATTTCACGCAGTAAGAGATCGATGTTTTCTTTGATAAACGTCTTAACCTCTTCAGAAATAAGAAGTTTATGTAACATGTTATGCTGCAAGGTGAGTTCTGCTACATGCAATGTGTTATAATTGTTATTTTAATAAGACCATTGCAGGTAAAGCGTTCCATAGACGCCGTATCTCTATGCTTCAGTGGAACGGAATGTTTTCTTGGCTTAGCAGCTAAGTTATCCTGCTGCGAACAGTAATACCAAAATGATATACCATTCTGTCCAACGTATTCATGGTGGTAACTATTGATTAAGAAATGTGAGATGTTTAACATTCGTTTATAAAATTAATCTTATCTTTGCATTACATGTATAATTTAGGCAATATAAGCTTACACCCAGTTGTATTCATCAATATCTTCGATTAGGTCGACTATTTCGTTAGCTATTTTTTTGCAGAATTATCAAAATTGCTAACATCTAATACATAATATTTAGCAGCTCTCTTAAACTCTGACATAGAGCTTCGATTTCAATTATTTCTCATCATCACAGGTATTATTACTAGTTGAAGGTCTGTTTCTTCGTCGTTTGCTACAAGTACGAAATTGCCACTCTTATCCTTATCCACGAATTCGCTAGAAAGCTAATTTTACAGCAATTATAATAAGAACTTGACAATGAGTTCATTTTTTCGAAAAATGATATTGGAGAGGATAATTATGCAGCGCGAGCGTATACGCGTATGCCTGCCTTGTCTACCTTGTGGACACTCATATTACCATATTACATAATAATAATAATAACGAATTTCTTAATATTACAAATTTGAGGGTAGGCTAAAGCGGAGCCACAAACACCACAAGCGCCGCCACAAATTTGGTATCATGTGATATCAGATCATAATTTGTTTCGACAACGTCGCTGAAATGTCTTAATATTAAACACTTTATCTGATTAACGCGCTATTCTTACGGCATTAGAACGATGATACGTTTCAGAAGAACGTCTTGAATATTAATCATACAAAGGCTATCAATGGTCAATGGCATGACCAAAGGAATGGGACCAGTGAAGTTAAAGTGTGGTTTCAGAACAGCTATAAATTAGATAGCTACGAAGCGATATTCTAGCCGAAAAATTGTCATATACAAAGAGAAGAATTGGTAGCCAAAGACTTACCTTTAATGAATTAATAGAGAGTGCGGGATACAGTATGTATTGGAGGAGTATATAGATGGTTTCATTGAAAACTTAATATTAAACCCGTTTTGGTATAGACCGTTACACAGTAGTCATGTGTCCGTAAAATTTTTAACTCTTGGCATCTAAGTCGCGTTGGCGAGCAACGCGTTTCTTTAGTAACAACTGTATAAAGGAGAGTCTGGCAAACTGAATCTTTCACTTGTAAAAACATTACATTATGTTGTCTGATATTAAAGATTATGGACCGGGCTTCGACTATTTCCTGAACACTCCGTGCGATGACTGGGATGCGCTCCAGTTTCACGAATTCTGGAAAAATAACAATTTCGGTTTAGACAAAGCGACTGTAATAAGAAGCTTCAACAAATACATACAGCAAATAAAAGAATATGGAACAGAAGTGGAAATAAAGAATGCGATACGTCTTGAAAATCAATTCAAGGTGAGTATAATGTATAATTTATAAGCAGTGATTGAAGGTTTGTCACATTCAGTAGCTACCCATGGAACTACGTCTTCGCATGGTTATGGACTACGTCTCCGCTGTAGCCAGCTTGTGACAAACCTAGAACTTTGATATTAATGTAGAATAATTTACGATATCTGTAACAGCTTGAATCCAAAAGGGGGGGGTCGTATAGATAACTTTTGGATTAAGTCTTTACCTAGCTTGAAACATCGTAACGTTGCGGAGGTAATAAATAATTATAATACCGAAAATCGATTTTATTCCTGTGATGGAGTACAAGTTGGAAGTGGCAATACTATTCAAAGCAATAAACGATCCTATGGGAATTGTGAACAATCAAACGTTGAAGAAATACCAACTAAAGGGAGTAAAAAACAAAAACCTGTATGTATCTTTAATTTAGAGTAAAATTAAAGGTCTTTCTTAAATTTGTTATATATACAAAATGAATCTTTTGGATTATAGATCCATCCATCAGAACGATATGTAGAAGATGAACCATCAGAATCAGATGAAGTTATTTTTGCTCTTCCCAACTGTTGGGATAATTCTTTGGATGGTCATAATGAGGTCTGTTCAGTAATATATTTTTTTCTTGTTTGTTAGCCGTATGATGTGATAAGTTTGTTTCTAATCTGCATTGCTCTTCAAAGTCAAATGGCCATGACGAGTTGGATATAGTAATAGGGATACACGAAGATGATGATGAAAATTCTTTCATCATAAAGAACGGAAAAGGATCAAGAAACAATAAGGTTATTATTAATCAGTATTGGGATGCAAAATAAATTATTAAGTAGAGAAATTTTATTCTTTTTACTAATGAATTTGATTCCTAATTATAGTTTAAGACCATTCTATCATGGAAACATGCAATCAACAATATTGACATAAATGATGCTTCTATGAAGGATGTAAATATTGAGAATATTGTGAATTTTTAGTTACTTTTCCTGATATAGTAATAATCTTTTCTTATCTTATACTTAGTGGGTGGCAGAGGATCACAACGTCTCCCTTGATTTCCGCAATTTCCAGCTTGACGTAATAAATCAATTGAAAGACAACCAAACGTTTTCATATCTTAAAGATATGGAACAGATATTGTAAGTCCAGTATTTGTTGTGTAAATAGAATCAATTTCAATGTCTAATTTTTGTATATATTTGCAGATGTTTGTCATCAATAATGTATTGTAATGAATCCAAGCCAGAATATGTATCATGTTCTGAAAAAGTGTGGAAGAAAATTCGCCCAAGACCATTAACTCCAATTATGTTGCCACAAAATGTTATAATGATAATTGCTGAATACAATACGGTAAGTTGACCTCCTATATGATATTAGCAAAGGTATTAATTTGTTTTATTGTGATCTAGCTTTTGAATGATAAGCAATTGATGAATACAAGATGGTGTGAAAATTGGTCACTAAGGGGTACTTTGCAAACGGATGAAGATAGAGATATTTTTGAGTGTGTGCAAATAGTGTCAAGAAATTTGTAAGTTCTAAAACTATTGAGAACATGTTTGTATGTTCGTTAATCATATTTACATCTTTTGCTTTGCAGTTTTATGTATCTATCCTCAGTAAGTTTCAACAAGAGCAATGAGTTGAATGAAGACACATTTGTCCATCGGTATTGCCATCAAATTCTTGAAGAGATATTTGGTAAAACTGATTTTGCATTAGTTTGGTAAGTTTTATGTAATCAATATATTATTTACACATCAAATATGCTCATAACTGTAATTTAAATGAAGGGCGAATGGCGAGTCCGAAAGTTCGAAAGAAAGACGGGCATTAGATGGCAACAATCACGGAAGGAAACCGGACTTTCGGGTACTTGGAAAAGTAGATGATGCAAACAGAGAGATCTTATTTGGCGAAATAAACCCGCAGGCCCATACAGATATTATAAGTAAAAGTGTGATAAAGCTGGCGAAGTTTATGAAAGGATCTTTAGACCTTATCATCAATAGATGTGGTTACATTGCCGGTATAGAAGTCTATGGAATATTGATCTGTGGTAAGTTATCAAGTATCGTTATTATATCTTACAACAAGTTATGTTTATCTGCCAAACTAATCGGGTATAATTCAAACAGGAGACGTAATTCAAGTTTTTAACATGGATTTGGCGTATGATGGTCTTTATCGCTGTTGTTTATTATCAAAAATATTGCTTCCAACGGAGAATGCGAATTTTCTAAACATCGTTACTGTGGTGTCTACATTATATTCATTGTTGGTAAGAACGTTCGTAATCTTCAAACAAGTTGTTTTGCAATGTAATCTCATTATTTTTAATTTTATGTAGGAAAGGTTAAGATCTACAATCAATGTAGTAAATTCATCTCAACTACAATCATCATCTTCAAGTCATTCTTATTGCCGGAAATCGAATTCGTCACCAAGAAAAATACGCGTACCGATGGTCAGAGCTTAGGTGATAATATGTTGGTTTAAAACTAATAACTAAATGGTATTGTGGTTGTCTTATAGTCATCAATCTGTCAATACAAATTATATATTAAATAAAAATGCTATACAAAATCATATTTTATCCGCCGCCTTTTCCGCCCGAAATCCGGATTATCAATCGCGGTTATTATTATTATTTGGGTACGCTGATAATTTCCAATTTTAAGTCAAAGACAACCAATGATAAACATGAATGTCTTGACGGCGCTCATAAAAAATCCGAATATGATATCTTAATGTGATATGTTCGTCTTGCACGTATATTGTGCTTGCTAGCAAAGTAGTACTTCTGTGGGATTTTGTGTGAGCTTAGTATTGTATTATAAAACAGTCGAGATGGTTTTGGTGAAGACGTTATGTCACAGTCTTACCTTTAGTAATCTGAAAATTCTATTTGAATTCTTTTACGTAAGGCACACATAGCCGGATTTTTTAAGGTTATTCAAATTATTCTGTACTATATCCAGATCTCACGTCAAACTTTCACAAGTGATTCTTGTTAACATAAACATTAATAAGCGTTATAATCCACCGAGTACGAAAGAGCCATGCGCTTTTTGGAGATAAATTGCAATTTTGCTGAATTACGTGAGACGTTCCAAGCTCTCTCTAGATCTGAGCAAGATATATTTTTAATGGCTCAGTTGAAAGCAATGAATGATGGAGAAATAACTGCTAGTCGACGTCTTAACAAGAAAACGCGTACTAATAAGAGAACTTTTTATTATTGAGATCGACATACGCAAAAAACGTATCTCAGTATGTTAGGAATTGGTCGCACTCACTTTGAAAACGTCAGAAAACATCTAGCAACGAATGGTATAATACCGCGCATTCACGGTAACATCAAATGAATGCCACGATGGAAAACCAAGATAACCATTGATATAAATGTTACTACTGCTGTGAAGAATTGTCTCGAAACCTATGCTGAAATACATGGATTACCAAGGCCCGGTAGAAATGTTAATCGTATTACTCAATCGCTTACACTTTTACCAGCTGAAACGAGTTATAAATCGGTCTATCGCAATTTTATTGCAGGCCTCGAAAACGATAGCACTCTCTCAATTACACATGTACCGCTTCACAACAGCCGCACCGAGTAACGCGATAAAGAAGTTTAGGAAAAGTTGTTGTTATACTGTACATACGTTTTTAATATTCGATATCTTTTCAACAGACAAATATTTTTAGTAAAAGAGTTATCGCGTCATAAAATAATTAAATTAACTTATTATTAAAAATGACGCGAGTCGATTCCGGTTTTCCCATTTCCTTTAATAACTCGTTTTGTACTTATTAACTGGAGGACTGAGAAACAAAATTCTCCTTAAATAACAAGTGACCTAATATTAATGTGTATGCTCCCTGACTACCGACAAACTCTTTGAACCTTTTTTACTGAAAAGTCGCGGTATGACTGAACCCAATCCCATTCAGAGGGGAAGTAAGAATTTACTAATTAATTAAGAAACATCAATAGTAGATAAAAACGCATAACTGAAAATATTTTGTATAGCGCTCAACGTCCAGAAATGAACTCGACTATTATTATGTGAATCATATACTCTGGCTCTATAGAGAGGAGCAATTAGAAAGCTGTCGTCTATACTCTTGTGCATTGTGGACAGGTACACACACCTTTAAGCATTAAATATTGTTACCAATAAAAATTCCCTTTCTACGTTCTACTCTGATACGTCATATTCGAATAATCCAAATACGTCGTAAATAAAGGTACGGTTTCCATATGATAGTTACTGTTCTGTTCTAAATGTCACGTTCTGTATTAGTAACAACTTTAAAGGGATATTCTATTTTCTCAAGAGGGCATTGAAAGTTTCATGCTAATACAAGTCATTATTGCATAGCGCTCGTTCGCAAAATAATTACATTTTATTAGCATGACAAGTTCATTATCGCTTTTGCTTTTTCGACTTTTTACCATGCTTCTCGGCTCTTTTCAGAGCACGAACTTCTTTCTTCATTCTCGCATCCACCATCTGGAGCAAGAAAAAAACAAAATAGTGGTTGTGTTCATATTCTGCACATTATACAAAATAAAATACTCTCGAAACACGCATCCGTTCTTACCTTATAACGTCCCTTTACACCTTTAGGCCGTCCTTTATTTCCTCTATTTGGCCCTCTCGCAACCACTACTTTAACTTGCCTTTTCTTTGTCTTTGCTGCTTTATTCACCATTTTTGCAATAACCTCTGCCTTCTCTCTCTCTGTCATGTCCTTACCCTCGGCAACGGCTTCGGTCTTTTTCTGTAATTTTGCTAATTTTTTCACTGCCCTCATTTTTTTCCTAGCCTTTGCTTCTGCAATCTTCTTGATCGGTCGAGCATTAAGCGCTTTCATACGTTCTCGTAGAACCTGTATGGCCTCTTTGGTAACGGGCAGATTGGGTTTATTGTGTTTCGTTTCGTCATCAAGAAACCACGATGGCAGATCAGCGCGATCATTGAAAGCATAACGATTGAACCCGTCATCGATTAGAGACGCAGTCGTTTTTTGTCGGTTTACTAACTGCTGTGCTAGAGTTATCGCTTCGGCTGTTGTTAATCCGTAGGCTATGAGTACGGAAAGAGAGTCCGAAAATGAAGCGGTCAAGTTAATTGCTCGCGGGATAATAAAGCATTGAATATGTGCATATGGCCATAAACATGAAGAGACTATCAGGAGCAAACCCAATATTGATGAATATATTACTTTGAGCTTTTTTCATTTTTTCCTCGTCTTCGTCTGACGCGTTAGCATCCCACATTTCTTCTTCGCTTTCATCTGCCTTTGGAACTATTTCTATATCATCGTCTTCTGTGTCGTCTGAGGACTCATCCATCTGAAAGTCAAAAATATCCGGTGAGATATAACAGCAATACGCTCAAATGCTCATAATCATCTTAACTATTAACCTCTTCTGCTTTGCGCTTGAGTGTATTATTTTTTGCATCTCCCGACTCGGATTGTTCTGATGAATGATATGCATGTGTCAATTAGAATTAAAGACAAAGTAAAGCCGATACGCTATATTCTACCTTGGTCTTGTTCAACCATCTTTTCTTGTTCATCTGATACATCGCTATCACTCGTTTCTGCATCATTGTCTTTTGAGATTGAATCTATTTCCATGCCATCGGCTGCATCATCTTCTGACAATCCCTCCATCTAATAGCATTAAGATGTTTCGTGAGAAGAAAAAGTTGCGCACAAAGATATAAAGAAAACCCAAACCGCCAACCGATATTGACCTTTTCCGCTCTCCGCTTGAGTGCGGCATATTTCGCATCTCGTTCCGCTCTGCGCTCTTTATATTCTTCGTATCTAATGGTACGGAATGCCGACGTTGCATTACATTAACCATAATAATGCTAAGTATATATATACGCGTATTAAATAAAACTTACAAGTCGTCTATGTCAGCCTCCAGTTCATCGAAATTGTCACTGCCTGATTCATCCAAAGCATCAAACTCTGCCTCCAACGCGGCAGTTTCAGAATCAACATCCTCAACGTCCTCGGCATTTTCATCTTCACCTTCGCCAATAACGATATCATCATTATCAAGTTCTTTTTCATCGAGAACTACTTCCCCTTTGCCTTTCCGCAATTTGTCTAAAGCCTAGTAACCACATGCACGTTAAGCGAGACATGTTAGCACCAAGCATTCATAAGCAATCATGGAAATAAGCAATATACTTGCCTCTGTTCCATCGACTTCCTTGAGATCGAACATAAGCTCGCCGGTTTGATTACTTTCTATTCCAATCTCAGCAGGTGTGACCATGTTAAGTTGCATTCGAACAACACTCTTCTGTCGTTTCTCATTTGCTTTACGTCGCAGTTTCTTTGTTTTTGCTTTTGCTTCCTGCACGAGTCTGTCGAGCTATTGAATTACAACATTGCACAACATTAATTAAACTTGCAAGTAAAAAATAAGTGACGTTGTGTTTAACAATTTTTTCTATCGTACCTCTTCCTGAATGGCCTTATCCTCATCCTCTGGTTCAACGTCCTGCTTGGCATCATCTTCTTTTTCGTCATGTTCTTTTTCTTTTTTTCCATCTTTACCCAACTGTCGTTGTGAAAACGGGGTTAACAACTGTCTCATCAGCTCCTGTGCCTTTTTTTTTTCCTGACGACTTGAACTTACCCACTCTCTAATTTTCTTCCTCCATTTTAGCAAATCCTTAAACTCTCTCTTTCCCAAGACTTTAATATCCTCACACGAAGCCTTAATATCTTCATTTGTACATTTGTGTTGACACAATTTTATCGCTTCCTCATTATCGAATGTTATTTGGTTAACATCTCCAAGAAGTTTGATGGGATCTTCCGAATCAATAAATTCCATGGCAGATACTGATTTAAATAATGTGTAGTTGCCATCTTCATATCCTTCTCGGTGTCGCTTTTTTTTCAGGATGAAGGATATCCAGAATACGAGATGGTCCAGCATTGAGTTCTTTAAATACTGCACGTGGATCAAGAAGTTTTGGGTCGATTTTTTTGGGAGCTATAAAATCGCGACATATTACAAATATTTCTGCAGAAACGGTTCTGATTTAAAAGAATAAAGGTAGACGGAAATTGATATGAGAAAAAGACATGAACCTTTTTTTGCGTCACACCACAAACACGCAATCACAATTCCATACCTCGAAGACGCTGGCTTGGTCGCTTCAACGCTCTTAAACAGCTGATTAAATACCCACAATAGGTTATTATAGTCTGCTGATCTAAACACCTTAGTCACAAAGATTCCTACCATAAAATCATCCTCAATATGTTACAACGATTCTTGTCATCCTATTGATCCCACACAATAATAAGAATGTTTCTTGCTCTTTACTATTTATTCACCTCCTTGCGTCAGAAACCCAACAGACAGTTTTAAAGCCATCAATGTCAATTCACATTGCGAATATGCGTCTTGTATCCATGCAACACCGACATTGGGAGCGCCATCGTGCAAAATTCTAGTTGTTTTTCAATAATGCAAACAAGGAAATCAAAAACGGTGAATAATTTGAAGAAGAAAAAAAAGTTGTTTCGTAAATGCTCACACATCAGCTTTCCAGTGCTTTAATTCTGCTCGTAGGTTTGCTCTGCATTTGTCAGTTGTAATGTCATCTTGTAACGTTATTATCCCGGGTATAGGTTTTATTGGTACTAGATCGACGCCTACCGATACGATGGTTAATTAAACGGAAAGGAAAAAAGCTTTACCCATTGCAATTCATTTAATGATTGTTTTCAAACCTATTATAAGACTCTGAGTGGGCATATACTTTTTAGCTACTTGTAACCTTTGAACAGCAAATGAGAATGTCAGCGACACATTCGATTAATCTACACCGGTTCTTTAGAAAACTCACCAACCACCAGGAGCAGCGCATAGATCTATCAATACGCGCGACTTTTCGAGGAAATTGTATTTCTTGTTTATTTGAATGAGCTTGAAAGCAGAACGAGCACGATAACCCTGTTCTTTCGCCAAGTGATAGTATTTATCCAGACGACCTATAAATTAATGTTATTGTAAATTAGGCCCTTCTTTAGTCATTACGACGCAAGCATTCTCACCTTTTCCGGTTTTCTTGTCTCGTTTACCCATGATTCTTTGAGCTTTGCGATAATTTAAGTATTAGTATTAAAAGAAAATTTTCAAAAATTTTCTGTCGATCACAGGGTATCTATTTATTGGTTGCACAAGAAATAACAAATGTTGAGGTACCTTCCAGCAGTTCAAAATTGTTGATCTCGAGCTATGATTTGGAAGGCAAGATGTTTAACGTGCACAATGCATGGGAAATTTTTCTGCTAGGCCCGTTTTTATAATTTGCAACATTTGTATTTATATCCGCAATGTTTATAATGAATGCGTGACAAATAATATCTCGTCAGATGATTGCAATAAAAGTGAGGTGGATGCTTCGCTTATTAACGCAGTCTTCAAAGACTCACCACGTCTCCATTATTGCAATGGTGTTACATTCTTATTTAATTATTCGGTTCCTACATTGTACAATTTAGTCAACTTTCACAGTGGTACTTTAATAAAAAAATTAAAGAAACGCATAGTTTTCAATTATAACTGTACTTGTTTATGGCAAAATATTCTACGAATGTGTAATGGATATAATAAACGTAACCGATATTGGCCCTAACGACTGTTACGTTTCCCGCTCACATAATCGAGTCAGCAAGTGTATAATAAAATGCATTTAACCAACGCGATAAATATGGCGTCTTGGTATACCAATAAAAGATCCCATGTCGCTATGCTATTTACGATTTATTATCTAAACTTTTTACGGGGTTCAATCGGGTTTGCTTCCTATGATCAGGTCACCAATACTAAACGATGAAAAGACAAGATTGTGAAAACAAGAGATTTACATCAATAACAGGGTACGCTCGCTTATGCAAGAATTAACACACTGCGTTGAATTAGCATGATGCATGACTGTGAGTCAGTGAAGACTTGTCTTTCATTTTATTTATGCCATGTCAATTTTAAGCCAGGATTTCTTTTTCTTTTGGGGGAAAATCTGCAAAAAGGGAATTATTTGTCTTTCGGCTTCAAGGGCAAGGCATACCAGATTGTTGGTAAGCGATGTTTTTTTTTTCTCCACTTTTTTTTTTTTCCCCGCTAATTTTTTTTCCTTTTGTCGTAAGAGTCTGTGTGCATGTGAAATACATGTGTTTCGTGTTTCCACGTGCATGACGTATTAGTCACACGAAAAATTGGGGAAAATAAAAACGGCGTCGTTCTCTTTGCCTTGTGGCGCGGCAACGTTTCCTAACGGGAAACTTGGCTCTTACGCAAAACGCGGTGTCGAACGGAGATATTATTGGATAAAGCACTTTATGCATGTAAGCTATCTGGGGTTGAGGCTAATTATAATTGTTTATTTGCCAATGTTTCCCGTATCTGAAAAACGCGGGTTGGTCTGCAGAGTCCTCCCAAACTGGAAACGGGGCTTTGATGTAAATCAAGCAACACTCGAAGAACACACAGCCCATAACAAAAAAGATCAATCAGTCGGCTAAAACCAAGTTATTCACATCTCTTGTCGAAAAGATAAACTGCTACGGAACATGCGCATTCAAAAAAGAGAAATTTTCCCTCTCCACACTTTTCCCCCCTTCTTTGCAGTACTGTACTTAGTTACACCGCCCCCTTTCCCCCCTCCATTTGTTTGTTTCATTTGTTTGGCTTTTTTGTTTGCATACTTGATATTAATATTCATATAGTTTAATATTAACAATTTTGGACGCCACAAAAATACGCTTTTGTCAAAAATAGTCCTGCATAAATAAAATTCAGTTATGAGGTAACTGTGCAGTTTAAAAGAAACTCAAAAAAGTATGACAAGCACAAAACAGACGCAATGTAGTCTCTCGGCTGAAGGTTGGCGAAAAAGATGCAGATGGATGCATGTGATGATAGCGTAACCGATGGTGATTTTTTTCTCAACGATATATCGACTGCGAAATAAACAGCCCGTGTAGACTTGATCATTCGATTTACAAAAAAAAGTTTTTTAGAAGCTTGTCCTTTTTTAGCTAAACGGGGTGTGAATCTTGAAACGAGTCTCCACATCATTCCGCCAACGGGATCCATTGTCAGAAAACACAAAATTTTATGCTGCGTGACACTGTGACAGGTGAGTTACAAGTCATACGAAATATTTGGTGGAAATCATTTAATTTATCGTTTTTTTTTTATTTTCTGTCTTCGTCACTTTTTTTTTCTTATAATTTAACTTATCCGCACTCTTTTTTTTTTTTAAAGTTATATTACATTTTGACTACGTCTCCTCTTTGAAAGTCTTACAAAAAACTTCTTATGTAATAAAAGTGAAACGAAAACCAGAAAAAAGATGATGCGATTTTTTTCCTATTTACAATTTGTATGAAAACCAAACGACATTGGAAGCAATTCTCTAAATTCATTTCTATAAAGATTGTTCTTCTTCCCAACCCTAACCCCAACCCAACCCTCAAACCCTAAACCCTAACCCAACCCCATCCCCACCCCCCAGTGTGCGAAACCATTTTCAAATTGCTTCCGGTTTGGCTTTGCATTTTTTTTAATAATGTTCATTTTTTCCTTGTGCTTGGTTGGTTGGTTGGTTGGTGATGGTTGTTTTTTTTTCGCACGTGGTATTCGCCTTGAATATAAGCTTGTTCATGATTTCCGATGATTCTTTTTCAGAACGTAGACCACGCCCAATCAGATGGAGCTGCTACGACAAAGTTTGATTGTTCTAAATGTATTGATAAACACAATGAGTACCTTATTTGTAATAGTTAAATGGGATAAAAATGTTCCTGGTGTTCCCACACCCTAAAATACTTACTCAAAAGCCGATGGCCACTAATCATATTGTTGTGATCTGGGTAAAAAATATGCGAAACTCGGTTAATAAAGGGGTATGCATAATTTTTGTAACGCATAATGTATAAAAAACAAAAAAGACAAAATAAAGACGATGCACGTCATCTATATAACGGAGACCCAAAAAGGCAAATAAGGAACAAATAGCAATTCATGTTTGTAATAATATTTGTTTACCTTCAACATATGGTTCGTCTGCGTATCTTCCGCAATTTCCTTTCAAATAACTTTCTAACAAATCGTTGATGCTATTATGATTATTATTACTGTGATTCGTCCTTTCCCGCACATTGTCTGCTTGCTCCTTCTTGGAACTTTTCTGTTCATATTCTCTTTGATATCTCCTCTTCTGTATGTACCCCTCTTCTTCGCCATATGCGTCATATTGATATGAATCCGTGCTGCGGCATTTGTCTAACGCTCGTACATATACCCCATAGCACTTGTCACACACTCTCGATGCAAATCCGGCCAAATTGAAATTGACATTTTGGTCGAGACGAATATAATGAGAACAATGGGTGCCACAAAAGATATCGCCGCAACTAACAGGATAGGAAGCAAGAAAACGATCAGGGTCAGCTTGTTTAATCAACATTATGATGTAATAAAAAGAGACATCGTCGTGTATATCATTGGATTTAGATGGAATAGTTACCGTCGGCAGTGATGCCGTCTTTCGAATAAGCCGAATTCCCGATGACAATATTGCATCGAACATTCCGTCGCTGCTGAATCCGGCTGTTTGATGATTTAAAAGATAAACATGTCCGGTCAAGACACAGATAGTGCATAATTTTATAGTATCGGGAGAGGGCGGGAGAGGGGGGGAGGGGGAGGGAGGGGGAGGGAAAAGGGCGGTTTATATGTATCGTTATCCTTCCTTGATTATTTTACCTTCCAATGTCGTCTTGATGGTGGTTCGGTTGGCACGGCAGAGACGAGGACTATTGTTTCTTCCATTTCTTTGTTGTTTGGGTATCCGTACCCGCATTGTATTGCTGCTCCTCTTCTGAATACTGCTGGGCGATATTGTTGTTTGTAATCCAAAGCCCTACGGGCGAGAATATGCTTTGACGAGTGTTGATATTGAGTTTGCTTGTATACATCCATTGTTTGTGTAATGTGGCAGAGAGAGAGAGAGAGCGATAGGGCGATAGGGAGATGGGGAGATGACGAGAGAGACACGGCAAGTGGTTGAGCGGCTTTTAAGTGAAAAATTGGTTCATTATATAATTGACAAATGTTATAGAATAATCGTATAATTATTATCATTGTGCAACATGGCACATAATATAAGTACATATATACTACAGACGACATCAGACACATTTATACGCCCTTATAATTATGGTGTAATGAGAGATAATCTAAACTATACATTTTTTATACATCATTCATTGAAATTTCTAATTCGGCATATCATATTGTATGTATATGTTCCCTTCTCATCCAAATAGGCTTTGTTCGTCATCCATACTAATTTTAAGTGGTCCAACTCGTACGTGTGAATCATTTTGACCAGAGATGATAAAATAAGAAAGTAACACTTAGATTATCACAAACAATAGTGAGAAATGTAAAAACAAATCAGCAAATCAGTTCCATCATGTATTTGCAATTTGATTGCACAATGCAAAAAAGGGGAAACTGATAAGATCATCAAGGTGTGGCGAGGTGTTCATTATTAAATGACGTTTTAATAATGCCCCTACACCTGATTGCAGAAAGAGTATTGGATGGTTCCACGTTTTTTTTGTTCAGGCATATCCATTGTTGCACCGAGGAGAAAGGAACATTCATGATAAAAGGTGTGATGTAAGTTCCAGACGCCTTGCAGGAGAATAGCGGGCTAGATAGGAAAATCCCATCCCACGAAAAAAAAAATATGGTATTTTGGTGATGATAATGGATGGTTCTTATTGTAATTACTGTAATAAAATGCAACTCTTTCAAAATTAGGATACTGTCCATTACATCATCAGCGGCAGGCTCTCGTTCTCTTTGTGTTCTCTCCGCAGTCTAACCACAAACAACTTACTGATATGCCAAATATGGCGTCACTCTTACTTAAATAGTCTAATTAATTAGCCAGTGATATTTTAGGCTTATCGTTATGCATTGCATAGACGGTCTTTGCAGGGAAATACTGTCAAAGATAATGAAATGCATTGGCAAATGAAATGATTGAGAGGGCGTGCGAAGCACAGTTATTGATACGCCGCAGAAGACAAAAATATCCCGGTTGAATTGCGCATTGATGGTCTTATCTGTTTCCATTATAATTGGTATGCGTGCGCGACGTTTTGAAACAAACATCCTGACCCCCTCTCTAGTTATTTTGTCAATTTATGCAAAGGGCGGAATTCTTCTCCGGGAAAGTCATAACGCCACAGTAAATTGGGGGCTCTCACATGACATTGACCTTTGTGGTATGTTGTGGCTCAATTTCGATAGGATCTTCCCCCTTCAGTTCTTGCGTTCTAATTCTAACAATTCTTGCTGTCAATTACCGCTTGCTGACTTGCTTGTTTAGCGGACACCTTTTTTTTTTTCATCGTTTAACCATAAACCGGATAGTATCTGTGTCATTCTGTTTACGTTTCAATCATGGTGTATACTTTATTCCATCTTTTATGCCGCGCGTTGAATTCAATTAAACGGGAAAATAATTTCAACGACATTAAATTTATTTGACACAACAAAAGCAAACCCAGGTAAAAGCTCAAATTTAAAGCAGTTTTACAAGGCTTGTCAAAGTAAAATATTTCAACAAACGCACGGGTTATGTAAAAAGTTTGGCTAAGCGACATGGAAAAAAACCCCGATACATGGAATAAACAGTAGCTGCAGTTTTATCGTGTGTTTTACACCAATCTTTCTTTTGCCGAGTCATGGCGATTATTAACACTACATCACCGAGTACAAAAAGCTCAAATAGCACTTGTAATTCACTCACACGTTGCGTCTTATGTTTATGCACAAACATGATTCTGCCCGCAACCTATTCATATAATTTCTAGTCAGCGACAACAATTTTCGTATGCGTCCCGTCTTTACCAGTCGTTTGGTGAGCAATCCCGATATCCCTAGTTCACGTATTTGCTACATCATGTTACCACATCGCGATTCGCGCTTTGGCCATTGTAGACTGTTCGGGGATCACCACCGTTAAGAAGCATTTACATGTCAATCCGAATCTGAATATTCGCATCAGGCAATCCAAGAAAGATTATAACAACTCTTACAATGCAAATAATAGGAACGTGTGAATGAACATTGCCAACGTACTACACGCTGCCAAAAAGTCGCTCCCTCCATACGACTGTGCTAATGCTTCTTGAATCTATTGGCTAGGCTATAATTCGTTATAACAAGCGAATATCTATACCGAGAGTGTGGCATAGAACTGTATTATTTTTTATTAAAACTTTTGTATTATTCGTCATACAGATTCTTGATTATGGCGTGTGAATGTGAATGAAAATGAAGGCCAGATTTGAACCAACAAAGAAAGCATCAACGATAATTAGCCGAAAGCATCTCATAGAACTATTTCAAGACATCTAGAGTCTGGGCTACACGAAGGTGTGAACAAATGAATCCAACGCCTCTACAAACGGGTCCAACGAAATAAATGACTGCCATGCACATGTCACCTTTTAATGTACTGAATTTTGCATACATGTTAACATCAGTTACACACAAGAAATAAATGATATAAAGAGAATGAATTGAGTTTTGTGTGTAGCCGTTTTTGGTTGTATGGCGTGCATACGGTTGGCTTAGTATTAGGGCTTTCTGATGTAATCGTTAATATTAATCGTACCATAGAAATTGCAGTCTTATTAGATGGTCACAGCGTTAAGTTTGGGGACTATTATTCTATATTAGCATTATGTTGGGCGTATAACTTTAATAAGTAGGCTTGTAATCATCTTGATAACATTTTATGTTGATCAGAATTTCACGGACTAAATTACCAGTCTTATACCATGAGTACTGTACACGTTATCAGATAGTATATTATATTGGCGGAGGATATTATGACAGGAGTATGTAAATTGTCTTTTCATTGGGCTCGTCATGCTGTGTACGTATATTAAAAAGTCTGCATGCACGTATTACGTCTAAGCGGCGGCGTCGCTCGTGGTGTTTCAAATGGAGAAAAAAAAAAGCAGGTTCAACAAATATTTTGTGTCACAATTGGTTCATAGCCTGCATGCTGGAGAGCGCCGAGAAATACAGTATTAGCTGTATGTCAATGATGCGTCGGGAGGTGCAAAAAGAAACGAACAATTTCCAACTTTTCCCCCGAAAAACATCTTTTGCTTATATGAGCACTAGTGTAGCTAGTGTAGCAAGTGGCGAAAAATTTCAGTCACTCGAATGCCTTGACAGAAAACGTCTATTCCGATATGCCAACATATATTTAAGGAATTTCTCTTGAAGTTTGATAGATTGTTTGGGGTGAATCTTTGTTAGTGATTGTATTTTACATCACCTGCCGCCAAAAATGTAATAACTCTTGACGCTGATAGTTGTAAATTAAAATTCTCATTAATGCGTATCTTTTGCTGGATTAAGTTTCAATGTCATAGTTGGCATTCTCTTAATAAGATGCTGAAAGTGCCAAGAAACGCTGCTATTGAGGCCCGAGTTAGTTACAAAGCAATTACTGTCAAGAGAAGAACGGTTACTCTGTGAGAAAATTTATTTTTGTTGTTTGGAAAATCAAATAGATTCGAATCCACATTTCGCGTAAAATTGGTCGTTCTTGCCAAATAATTTATGGTAGAGAGACAGGTTGTTTTGAATGGAGATGTATCAGACCTTTTAACCGCTCATGAAGTAATTGCTAAATTCACAAGATAAAAAATTTATTAATGAAAGAAGAGTCACAAACACCAGTTGTGTACTATACCAAACAAATAAAAAAGACCAGAAGTAAAATGATTACGGTGCAGATACTGTAATGCATGAACGATATACCAAATGTATTCGCAGCTTTGAAAAAAACCGGTTTAGCAGTCATCTTATTGATGGTCTATTTATTGTCGGAATTTTCTCATACTAAATTTAGTACAAGGAAGCGATGCATTCAAGGCTAGTTTGCACAGAATTTTTATTGGTAAATATTATCGATTTTTTAGAAGTTGAATAGGAGACACTCTTAAATAGCTCGTGCTAAATTTAGCACAATTGTCAAAAATACCCAATTAATCATGTGCTTGTGGCTGAAATTAATGAAGAGTTACACTAATTAATCTTGTGATGCAAAATTGTCGTTTTTTTTGGCACACCACTGTATTTGGAATTATCAGTAGACTATAGTATTTCTTTGTATGGTTTTTTCGTTTAGTAACAGCTTGCCGGAATTACGCTTATCCTTTATTTCAACCTACAAATATGAGGCTTTTGCGATGAAATAGTTTATGCGCGTTTTCTGTAAATCAACAGTAATAGAATGAGAGTATTAGATGTCTGTGGATTCGTTATTATGTCAAATTAGTATGGCAGTCAAGTAATAGTAATAGGGTTACTTGATATTTAAAACTGGTACACAGCGCCAATCCGTTTCTGGTATCATTGTGATTGCGCGGTTGTTTGAATATAAAGATACTATTTTTAGTGAAGGATATTTTAACATAACTGTTTTATTCTGTGCAGAAATTTCTTAGTACGCGCACCACGCATGTACAATTCTATCATTGTCGTTTACATTTCCGATGTATATTATTATTATTATTATTATCATCATCATCAGTTTCTTATAAGAGGACTCAAACTGTAGTCACTACCGTCACGAATTCGACACGCAATGCGCGCAATAAAATCAATAAAATTATTCCAAATTTTGACAATCGCTTTTCTTCTGTCAATCGTCTGCGTCGTTTTCTCGCTCCCAGCACCTACCGATCTACCTGACCCACAGTGCCAATGCACTGACGGTCATTGGGGCTCATCTTGTTGCGGAGATCCAGGCGATATACCTGACCCAGTGTGTCAATGTAATGACGGTAGTTGGGGCTCATCTTGTTGCGGAAATCCAGGTGGAAATCCAGGTGGAAATTCAGGTGGCGATATCCCTGATCCTGATCCAGAGTGCCAATGTAATGACGGTAGTTGGGGCTCATCTTGTTGTGGAAATCCAGGTGGAAATCCAGGTGGAAATCCAGGTGGCGATACCCCTGATCCAGATCCAGAGTGCCAATGCTATGACGGTACTTGGAGCTCATCTTGTTGCGGATCCCCATACGGGCCTGAATAATCAAAAGGACAAACCGCGTGTGCGTGTATCCTAATGAAATATCAGCAAGCGGTGAACTTACTTTTATAAACACAACTTTATTATTATGAATGTTAAGCCTATATTTTCATGCTAGGGTTAGGTTTAAAAGGGAAAGATGAATGTTCAAAGAATTTTTTTTTTTTTGGAAAGCCCAGTGTTTAGGAAACCGTTTATATTTGTGGAAAATAATTATATCGGTATATACGGGATTTTTTGTCGTTAAATTTGTTAGAACTGATCAGCGGGGGTTTTTCAAACGTAAATACTATCAAGTCTTTAGATTATTGTATAAATAACTGGGAAGTAGTCATGAGAATATATCGCAAGCAATAAATATCGTATGCGCGTGTACAATAATTAACGGTTGTCTTGCAGAACCAATGCCCACGAACAAACTTTACATTGACTACCTCTTTTTGGCATTTCTTTTCGCGAAAGAAAGAGATAATCGTGTAGTTACTATTCAACAAACTACATAAAACATGTTTGTGCTGAGATGGTAATTTATGTGTCACCTGATTTCCTGACGGCGAGCGATTTACGTTAAAATTAACTGATGCTAATATTAACGCTAAGCTTTCATAGAATTGTGTCAATATCAAGCTTTACTTTACCGGGGATAAAACTTGAGTGTCGTGCAATCCAATAAAAACCATGCATATTGAGCAACAGTGTCTAAAATTTCCACGTGGTTCACGAGTATCTGCATGAGCCCTGTAATCCATGCGATTATGCATAAGCGGTGATCTTTGGTTTAACCCTGATGATAATGGTACCAGCTCGCAAAGCAAATCGTCGTGTTAGAGCTAGTATATTATATATGAGAGAGGGTTGTATAATGTATATGCACCGAAGTGTTCTATAAAGTTGTCCAGAACTCGTCACTCTGATGGGATGGATGCTTCAACGTATGGAAATAATAAACATTCGCGGCATCGGTTGCTTGCGCTACGGCACTTTGATCGATGAGTTGTTCTAAATGGATTAAAGTTCGGTTTTCTTGATCCGTGACACACTCCGATATCAACTTAGCTATCTTATCGAGGGATTGAAAATTATTACGAGATATAATAAGGTGGGCCTTTTCTTTCGGGTATTACATTTGATAGCATTATTTGCAAATTCTTATTGCTTGAAGAACAAGGGAATGTCAAAGTTTTCTCCATTTTAAACTGAGGTGTTGACCACAGCTTTCTTTTAATTGGCTCATCGGATCCTTTTAAACCTAACCACCGCCCAAATGCAACCCACAAACGTTTATCATAGGATTTTCTATGAACAGACCGTTCTCATGATTCGGGATAATAATATCTGTATCGATTAACGAGAGGCAATCTGGAGGAATTTCAGTAAGCCCTAAATAGTCGGTATCGCCAGATCTCGCTTCGATCAATATATCTCGTGATGAAATATCCACCAAAATTTTATTTTCTTTAGTAGATACACAATCCCAGGAAGAGATGGGAACTAGTTGGCTTTTCTTTAAATACTGGAAATTTCACCACCTGTTGGAATTGAGTCTTAATTTTATTAGCTAACAATTTGACTCTGGTTTGTTTTTTGGCTAAAGAAGGTAAAGGTTTAGGGATTTGTTTTTCTCGCCATTCCTTAATTTCTTTAGCAAGTATTTCTTCAATTTTTTTTTCTTTTCTGGCTTTTTCTTGCCATTCTTGAATGCCAGGCATCTTGGTATTGATGGCCTCTTGAAGGTTAGCTAAATATTCTCGCTCCTCTTTTTCCAAATCATTTATATGTTTTTGACAATCAGCAATTTCTTTTAAATATTCTCCTCTTTTTTGGTCTCTTTCAACTAATTCCTTGTAAGCCAGCTGTTGAAGAGGATGAGTATAATCAGCAGCTACCATTTCTTCAATGATTAGATTTAGTTCGACTGGTAATTTATTTTGGGAGTAAAATTGTTTTCGTCCTAAATTCAAACTGGTTGGTCAAGAGGTTTATTAAATTTACTGACTATTATTATTTCTCATTGTCTTTTTCAGCTATTTTCTATAGACTCAGTTGCTGAGTTCTTCAGGTCCTCTCAGAGCTTTTTTAAACTGCTATTGTAATCAGTAAAATCTTGGTAGTCAGTGTCACAGTAGTAAGTAGGTTACTTTTTGTTTATTATTTATGTTATTCATAATAAATATTTTTATAGCTTATCAGTTCAATTTATATTTTATATATAGAGTAATCCTATATTAATCACATTATGGTTTATATTCATCACCTTCTAGTATGATAAAGTGAGCATTAAAATTAACCAGTCCATAAGCACAATTCTTACTTCAAAACGTCATCAGTCACCCTGGTCAATTTTTTGGTCACATCATAATCAGCCTCTCATTTATAGAATGTTCACTTTGTCTGGTTTTGTTGCAGCATGCCCCATATATAAGTGAGAATGAATGCCAAGTGAAGAAATGAAAAGATTTGGTGAAATTGCACATGTGAGATGGCATGCAAAAAAACGTTTGACAACACATCCCAATAATCATAATAAATGGTAATACAAATTAGAATGTAACTAATTATGATAAAATAAACAATATTGTATTATTATCATTTTGACATGTTAAGATGATGTCATACTTAGAAGATTCTGCTCTATTCTTTACTTATGTAGTAATTGTATTTTTGGAAAGAACAAGCAAGATGCCAACTTCATGGCAACCTGCCAATGGCCCTCCTACTCCACATCAGATGCCATTATCCTATTATTATTATATTCCCAACATAAATGTGAGCAGTAAACTCAATTGCTGTTAATTGAAAAAACACGAGCAAGACGGATAATAACGATGCCAATTATCAGGGAATGAACTTCGATGAAAGACGTCGATTTTCAATTGCTGGGTGTGAACCCTATTAATATAATACTAATATTAATACTAATACAGGAAAAATGATCACAAATGTTATCGTTCCTAATATTATCCATAGCGACAAAACAACCAATTCCTTGTAGTTCTGTTCGCGGAGTTTGACACCTGAATTCCTCAGCAATATTTAATACTCTCGTGTCATGTACTTGTTTCATTCTCGTAGTAGAAAAGCGAGAGAAATATTTTAGATTTGACATTTTGGTGTCAAATTTCTTCTTTCCAAGGGCGCTCAGTGTCAACACGTAAATTTCTCTTTAGTTTATCCCGAGTTGGTGAGAATGTTTTGATGTTTAAGACTACATAGGAGTAAAATATGGCTTTGGTGGCACAGTTTTGAAACTTGGGACGTGCGGTCTGCTCCGTACGTAAAATGTACACTTTGGTTTGCGACTTTAATTGAGCATTAGATCTGCATCTAATATGCATCCGACACTGGACGAATTTAACTTGCTGATTTGCATAGAATGTATGCAGCACGCCTTCCCAAACCTGAGGCGACTACTACTTGGTGGAATGGGATTACGGATGAGAACTTGGCCCATCAAACAGGCCAATCAAATGACGCTACACACATTTTGTTCGAAAATTCTTGCCACTAGTTTTCACTATCCAACAACGTAACGATGTCTTTCGTGAAACAAGTTTCAAGTCTTTCCGAATTCAGAGAGGCACTGAACACTCCTAAAAAACTGGTTAGAAATGCTAGCGTTTCCTCAGTCAAACAATATACTTACATGCAAAATGAGTGATAACTGGAGGCAATATTTCTTAGGTTGTTGTTGACTTCTTCGCTCACTGGTGTGGACCTTGTAAAGTCATTGCACCAAAGGTTGAAGGCCTGAGCAAGACATTCCGACATGTTACCTTTCTCAAGGTTCGAGGAAATTTTGATTTGACTTGCATTAATTATGTTCTAACATAATATGAGTATTTTTATAGGTTGACGTTGATGCGTCAAAGGACATCGCAACAGCAGAAAAAATATCGGCCATGTGAGTTTTTTTACATACCATACTTATTATACTATCGCATTATTAATCTTTGCGTCATTTCGTTTCTGCCGCTCAAATTCAACCGTCAAGGCCAACCTTTAAATTCTACAAAGATGGTCAGGAAATAGCTAAAATAGTAGGAGCCGACTATCACCAGTTGGAAACTTTAACTAGACAACACGCTGGTACGCCCGAGGAAAGTGGATCAAGCGTGCTAACGTTTGGTAATCACGTACGTGTAATTGCGATTTCATGACTCGCTTTTGTAATTTCTGAAGATGTGACTATTAACCGATTTTGCACGATAGTCTGACATAAACGAGTTCATCGTGCTCAATCAAGTAAACTGTCTGAATCAACAAGGACAAAATGTTCAGAATATCTTTAAGAATGATGACTCGTATTTAGAGTCTGATGTCGACGAACAGCTGATTATATCTGTTCAATTCGGCCAAACCGTGAAAATTCATTCACTAAAACTAGTGCCGGATGATATTGGTAAGTGTACTATGATACAACGAGTAATGCATATATATATAAAGAAGACGTCAATTGGGTATTTACTGATTCTACAATTTGACAGAGCATGCACCAAAGACTATTAAGCTCTATGCAAATAGACTCAACGTTGGATTCGACGAGACTAACAGAATTGAAGCGACGCAGGTTCTTACGTTGAGCGAGAAGGATTACGCAGATAAAGCCTTGGTGCCCTTGAGATTTGTCAAGTTTCAGAATGTTAATAATATTACGGTTAGTGCACGAGAAATGCAATTTCATGCATATTAACTCTGAAGGAGTTTTAGTAACATTCTCTTCTCTGGTATTATGTGCAATCGTAAAAGCTGTTTGTACAAGATAATCTGGGGAATACCGAAACAAGCAAGATTAAACGAATACATTTCATTGGGTATGTCAATTTAAATGAGAACGTAATTATAACATGAATACACTGATTTATCCTTTATCTGTGAATGCGCTTACTATTAGATCACCTGTTGAAACAACGAAAATGGAAAATTTGGCACAGGCGGGAGAAGGCCGTGCGGTTTGAGAATGAGTGCAGTTGGTCGATAATAACAATTTTTACGAGACAGACATGGAATCTCTAAACTGTACGTCATTACCAACACAACAAAATAAACAATTAGTAAACCTACTGCCGTTTCACACTATAAATGTGCCTTTGCATGATAAAAATGACACGACGATGGTTTATAGTTATTTCTAAATTTGAAACACAAGCCCAGTTATAAGTCTACAACACGTGATATGCTTTCATATGACTTGGAAGCTAAACAATTGATATGTAATATGTACGAACATAACTTTCTGTTGACACTTAATGTCCTCTCGATGATTTATTCAAGCATGTTGAACCCAAATAAAAAGAGTTACCAATTGATTTACGGGCGAAAGAAAAGCTCAAAATGATGCTTCCTGTGAGGATCGAACTCACGACCTCGAGATTATGAGACTCGCGCGCTAACCAACTGCGCTAAGGAAGCTTTAACTTAATTTGACCAAGAAAAAAAGATATTTATTTAATTAATCATAACGTTACTAAGGCATAAAACATATATAATAATCTATTACATTATTTTAAAGTGACAATAAATAGTCAACTGCTACATTGCTTTATTCTGAACCACAAGAGAATCATCAGGACTAAATATTGATTATGATAAGACTTTGTCTTGCGTTATTATTATTATTATTAAGACCGTTCACAAATGTAATGTCAATCTAAACTGTCAACCTAATGACTATTGATTCGTTGATAGTAAAAACTGCTGCAAATGCGGCGATGAAATTGCTTTTCATTGCCACTTATTGTACCAAATGTTTAAGCAAGACAAATATGACACCCCTTTCCCAAGATAGTCGTAGCATTTTCTAAAGACTATCTTCCCATTATTCCGTTCATCTATCGCGTTAATTTCAGGCAAGTACAATGTCAATCTCGACAAGTCGGTTTTGGCCAATACAACGAAGTTTCCCAAAATTTATACCCTAGTTACCGTATACAAATGATTTGATTAGTTACTCACAAAAAAATTTTTTAATACTAATGACGTTATGTTTCACTCTACGAGGATAATAGTTGAGATCAACGGGTTAGGTTTTGCATTGTTTATAATTTAATTCACTCATTCAGCTCACAATAATTCTGTAAATATTGTCAGATTGTAAATAATTGTGAGGAGAAAAGCAATAACAAAAGACACGTTTAAATACGCACATTGGATAGAAAACATGATAAATTGACGTATCTCGAATATGATTGCTGACATTATTATGCGTATAAGTGAATTGTATGAAAACTGAGACGCTACAAGTGTGTGTGTGTGGGGGGGGGGGTGGATTTTATTTACATGGAATGTGGTAAGAAATTTATCGTCTACCTCATTATGTTACAAAAAGTCTTACCCCAGGTTATTTCTGCCGCTTGGCTGTAAGAAATCTATGTAGCAAATCCTCTTGTTTAAATTATTTACACTTAATAAGTTGGGGAATTACAAATGATTATTGTTCAGCACTATTTACGTTTTCTGTTTCGGAATTATCTAGCACAGAGATTACAACTTACTGTGGTCATCGAAATTTAAACGTTCAGCTTTGAGTACGTCAAGCCTTATTTTTTATCATTATTAGATGACACATAGCTTGACTTGTAATCTCTCCTTGGCAAAATTCTCAGCATTTTCTAATTCCAAAGATCTGTACTATAACCATATCTAAACACAATGGTTACCAAGCATTTCTTGTCCCAACTTTTATAATCACAAAAAGGAAGTCGGAACTGGATATTATTGATTTTGTAACCCAAAAACTTAACTGTTATTTAGACAACATTTGTTTGTGCTTTTTTAACCGGAAGAGCGTGATAACAGTACTTTGAACAATCTTTTTAAAAATAATACCTTCCTAGTACACACGGACAGAGTCTTGCATTTAAATTTCGTAATAAGCTAGAACTGTATTGTGAACTATAGTGTTGGAAACGAAGCGATTAATGAAAGATGCATTGATAATATAAAAAATTCCTATAATTGTAAAACACGTTTTCGTTTACACTTGAAAATCAGATAATCGCTTTTTAGGCAAATGATCATTCCAAATCGGATTCCCGTACAACAGGGTCATTCCGCGATAAGATGTTCAACAATTACCTTCTTTCGTTCATTCATACAAATAAGTTGTGAGGACAATGACATTGATAATCTTAATGAAACTATTTAAAGCAATGATATTTGTTTATGTCAACCAGTAATAACATTTTTTTACAGTAAACAAAAATTTTTTCAAGGGCGTTTCTTGAGATAGGTCGTAAAGATGCGCCTTTAACATTGGATCACAATTTTCAATATGTGAAATTATCTTTACGTGTGACGACTAATTGACTGTTTTATTATAGTTATTATTATTATGTCAAATTTTGTCACGAGTAATAACGAACGAGTCTTCTAGGCTCGTATCCTTCCCGAATCCATCAATTCGGGATTATTTAATCTCTGGGAAATAAGGTCTTACACAATTAAACAATAATCAAATATGCTCTTATCAGGTTACTCATGGTCGACACTCCCATTGGCCCCCTACGCTTCATGCATTGGTTAATTGAATCGGTATCTAACGCTTCTGTTTCAACATGCGAATCAGACAGTTTTATCTCCAAAAGGGAGTCGCATTTAATGCATCCAATGTACGTTCCATACAAACAAGGGGCTGGTGGCAGTTTCCTTATAAACATTTCTCCACGGGAAATGGGAATTTTTTATAACTAATAATAACCGTAATTAATATAATATCAAAATTGCACAAGCAACTTCCACAGAAACAAACAATCAAAAGACTGTGTACAAATCACTATAATAAAGGAAGGAAAGACCACTTCTGACCTTTATCCCTATAATAATAAACTTAACCTAAAATAAAAAGGTGTATTTTGCTAACAGAGAAAGAAAAGGCGTCTACCGTGCGCTTGTGAACTTTCTTATGCATAGCTGTATCAACTGAACCAAATAACAACCTTTATGCGAGTGCTTGAGACTGACGATAGTAAACTCGACATACATTCTGATACACTGATTACTCCCGCTTTCCTATTTCTGGCTGCAATATAATAAATATCTTGTCGTCTATTCTAGTCAGTACAAGCAGATTGTCTATAAAACACCCTTCTCACCGACAATAGTAACATCACCACACCTGAGTAACAGAATACGACGTTAAAACCACATAACTTCTTCGAGCTTGCTTTGCCATGTCCATAGATCCGGCCTCTTTACAAAAAGATCTGGAAACAGCCCAACAGGAGTGTAATACGGTAAGCTTAACTGGCCTTGGAGAGAGTACTCGCACAGGACTATACAGTGATGGCATATATTAGCATTATATGCGACATCGTCAACAGTTGTTAGAGAATAATGTACGGCTGTATTATCCTAATCGAAACTAATGTGATCATAGACCTTGTGCCTTAATTATTTGTGTGTATATTATGTAACGAGAGCTAATCGACGATGATAACAAAGCATTTCACCGTATTCATAACCATTATATTCTTGGTCAAATTCTAGCTTCGCGAAGAACTCAACACCGCACACAATGAAAATACGACGTTGGCTAACGAAAACACTTATGTCCGGAAGAAAATTGCTGCACTTCAACAGCAATTAGATGAACAGCATAAAGATTACACACGTCTTGAATCTGAACTTTATCAGCAAAATCAGGAAGTAGAAAGATTGAAGAAAGAAAATGCTGCCTATTTGAAGAACAAACGAGAGACTGAGAAAAAGATGAGAGAGGAGGTAATTTATTGTTCGGCATACATTATTAGAGCATGACGGGTCGGGATAGTAATAAAAATTATTATGTATTCTGGATTAATTAGGCAACAGCATTCGAGAAAGACCGACTAGTTTGGCAGGATCGCGAAACGGACCGGCAAGAACGCGAAGCAGAGCTCCAAGAACAAGTGAAAGCCCTTCAGGCTACTGTCGGTGTTCTTGCTCAACAAAATGAGCAATTCCATAAGCTTGGTCACATAGATTCTAATGGTACGATTTGATTGAATAAATATATTATGCTGTTGTATTTCATAATACCTTTACAGACTCTTAACTTTTACCTTCATTCCACATCAGGTGATGCTATCAACTCTTCCAAACCTTCTCCTGCAACGGAACTTGCCCAGATTAATGCAAATCGCGATGCCAAGAAGGCGTTGGCAACCATCAAAGAGCGAGATCAACTCATCAAACAACTAAGAGATGACGTTCTCCACGCTAATCAAGAAGTTACAAAGAAAACGTCCGAAAACGAGAAAAATCAGGCAGACATTGAACAGCTGAAAAATGAACTTGAACAAGTTAAAACTGTCAACCAGTCACTTATGGAAGAGAATGAAGTATTCCAGAGCCTGTTGCATGAAAAGACTATCAAAGGGGAATTCATGCTCAACCCGATCATGCAGGTAGTGTATTTTAAATGATTTAACCAGCCTTGGGAAGCATTATAACAGGAGAGGTGGTAACATGCTCAATTCATTCTAGTATAACGATCATGATACAAGAAGCGAAAACAAGGAACCGACCGCCAATGGAATCAAAGCTAACAACGACCTTGCGGCAGAATTACATCGTGCTTCTGGAGGAAATGGATCGTTTGGTGAGGATGTGCAGAAAGAGAGTGATCGCAGTGATATAGAGAGTGAGTCGGATTCGGAATAGTATGGTTCTCATTTTACTCTAACTACTTCTTAAGCTCACAAAATAATATTTGCATTTGTCTAAACAATGTTACAATAGAACTTGAAAGCAAAAATGCAGAACTTGAAGAGAAAGTTGCAAAAGTTGAAAAGGCCAACAAGGCTTTGCAACTCTATATCGACAAGATCCTCAACCGCATAGTAGAAACACCTGGTGCAGAACACATTCTCGCTATTAATGGCCCCGCACCATCGGCCAGTCCGACAACAACTACATTCGGCCATTCGCGAACATTCTCGTCCGGGCCTGCGTTGGCAACTCCCCCCCCGGAAAGCAAGAAACTCGAACGTCGCAAAACGATGAGCGGCGCACTTACATCCAGCGAAGTTCCCTTCAAGATCAAGACGGGGGTTCATAAGGTTAGCATGGACGAACAAGGTGATCAATTATCTCCCTTACCCAGTTCGCCTACATCGAGGGTTGCCAATTATGGTGAAGACGGTGGCTTCGTGAGACCGTTAGCAGATCCGCCCAAGAGAAATAGACGCAATTCTGCTAGTTCTTCACAGAAGAGATGGAGTTTACTCGGTAATTGGGTATTGGGAGCTAAAGCAACGGAAGAGAAGAAGAAAGAAGATCCAGCACTTCGACCAATAATTTTGGTTCAGGAAAAGGAGAGAAGAGCATAGGTTTTGTGATGGACGTAAACTAATCAAGCTATTGGAATGTGAGACCGATTCTTTCGACGATTTTTTTCGTCTGTCAGGATACAAGTTGCCTCATATTCGATTTCTTTATAATTTTATGTAAATTTCTTCATATGCAATGAAAATAATAACTGAAAAAGCAATTTTTTCCTTTTAATTTACTCATTATCATATGTCTAATTTATTCAAATGCACACAATAAAAATTCCGAGTAAATGTTTATCTATTGGTCACAGGTATTACAAACGCAAGCAATAACAGAAGCCCGGAATCTCGTACTCATTATATACCAGTTCTCCGTTGTCATTAGTCGTCTGGTTGTCTCTTCCCGTAGTAACTTGTCTTTCTCAAAATACTAATACCGCATAAAAAAGTTCACGTGGTAAATGGTAGCACCAAAACTGTTCATTCGGACATTCGCTATTAACTATCTCAAACTGACCCATAACCCATTCGCGCTTTGGGGGCTCCTTATCTGTTCTCCTGCTTCGACCGTTTTCTAGAATCTTGTTTTCACAATTGAGTCTAACAAGGTGTTCTCCAAAATCACAAAGTCGATTTTCTGTAGAAGCGAAATGGTAAAGTGTGTAAGGCTAGCAACACCTTACTATTCGTTAGCATGAAGGGCAAACGTGGGGTGAGGGGAGAGGGGAGAGGGGGGGGAGGGAGAAACAGAATATAAACGGTTTTACTCTATAAGTTTTGGTTTTTCCGAAGGCGATTATCCCTAACTTTGTGAGTTGTCGTCGATATTGAATTTTGTACAGAGCTCGCTGAGATCCTCTCAGAAGGAGAAGGTTAGGCAGTTTATCACATTCACTAGCGCTAGGTAAGACTGAACATAATATGACGAGGACGATTAAAGATGGGATGAAAATGACGTGATTTTATAATCACATAGTAATCGTTGTCGTAAAAAAGGGGGGAGAGGTTCCGTTTGTTTGATTTTTTTTTCCTTTCCCCCACAAATGATTACTAAGAAATAACCTGGCTTATTTATAGTGAAAGAGTGGCTATTCGTAAACTCAAGGATTTCAACTGGAACGTAGAGGTAGCCATTGACTCCTTCTTTAATGATCAGCCAGTCGTTCAGAGAGGATTTGCAGCCGCACCCGCGTCTTCAGGCGTCGACGTTTATAAGCTTAACCAGACATTCCAAAGATATAAAGGTATGATAATATGTCGCAAATTGCGATCTTGTTTTTCCTGGTCAATCCATATTTAGTTGTCCCTCATGTTTCGTGCATAGACAAAGACGAGGATGCTATTCTAGTCGATGGAATGCTTGAATACTGTAATGACTTGAAAGTTGCTCCCGAAGATGTTGTTATGCTAGTTATTGCTTGGCACTTGGAAGCAGAAAAAATGTGTGAATTCAGGCGTCAAGGATTTGTTAATGGTTGGTCCAAATTAAGGTGAGGCTATTCCTGTTCGCAATGTGAGAAGAGAGATTATGTGTGTATATATATGTGCGTGTGTGCGTGTCTATTTTATTTTGACGTGATATTATCGTTTGTCGATCGAACAATGCATAGATGCGACTCTATTGAAAAAATGCGAGCTGCCATACCGCGTCTTCGAGATTCGATACAGGATGAATATACGCTAAAAGAAATTTATCAATTTACATTTAAATTTGGATTGGCTGAGAATCAAAAGTCGTTGAGTATGTGCTTGTAATTAGCAACACTTCATTTGACGTATTTAAATGATATAATATAACTCATCGTCCAATCCAACGAAACCAGGTCTCGATGTCGCGATAGGATATTGGCAACTGTTATTGTCTGATCGTTGGCAACATCTTGACATATGGATAGATTTTATAAAGGTATATATAGCCATTATACCAGTATTTACGTGTCAGCGAATTGATATCTGGGGTTTTTCCAAGATTTTTATTAGACAAGTTTAGTTTGATATACTAATTTGGTTTCCTCTTGGGACAGGAGAGACATGGAAAGTCGATCTCTAAAGACACGTGGAACCTGTTACTTGATTTCATCAAACAAATCAATCCTGATTTTTCCAATTACGATCCGGAAGGTAAAAAATTGATCCTACTATCAATTATTTTCTTGAAAGTGTACGTAATTTGATACTGATGACCTCTCATATTTGTTCAAACAGGGGCTTGGCCGGTACTGATTGATGAGGTTTGTTCTTATTGCGTTGCATATTTCTCGATAGAGTTCACCGCAAGTTATTTCACGTCTTGCAAAACGTTTGACATACGTTCTGGTTGCTAACATTGTCTCATATCATTGGCTGTTGCTCACTTTTTCTGTATAGTTTGTAGACTATGCCAGAGAAGTTCTGCATATATCGTGATCGAGATCGAAAACTCAGTCAAATAGATGCTCTTGGAATTTTCGGTTGATTGGAAGTTATGTAAATAGACTGCTATCTTCTCCAAACTTTAGAAGCTTGTGTCATTATTTAATATTTTTGAATGCATGAATGAAAAAAAGAGGTTCTCTTAGATAATCGAACAAATCTTGGTGATAAATAACCTAAACGCGCCGTATATATTTTTTTTATAAAATTCCGTCGCCACTTGTTGACAAAGTTATTGTCACCACTTGCAAATAAAATGAATATTGTACTTAGAAACGTATCGTTTCTTGTCAAATATTTCTTATGTGTCGTATCTACTATCGCGTCTAATTTAAATTTTGGTGACTCCAATGGCCTAATTAAATGTTTCTCGTTGAAAAACGTATAATAATAATGCGAATTTATTGATCGTAAAGACATTTTCTTGCTCGTTTAATAATACAATACTTTGATATCATCGGTATTTGTCGATGTCTGGCATCACAAGAGAGATTGATTGTTTGAGATATCGTTATTTTCCATAACTGTCCCATAAATTGCCCCACGGATTGTTAGATGTAAACGAATCGTTAGCAACACGTAACGTTCATCAATCCTTGTTTGGGGGTCAAATTCATTTACCTGACCAATAATTAATAATGTTTAAGAATGTCAATAGTGGTGGTGGATGGGTCAACCTCTAGTTTTTAATAAATTAAATTCTGTATAATAATAATAATAATAATAATAATAATAATAATAATAAGCACTATTAGCAACATCTGGACTTTGACAACTCCAGGATTGGTTGCTTCAAATACAAAATGCTGATATTAATATTTCTGCAAACCATTCAATTCTTAAAATTTCGGTATCATAATAAAACTAAATCTGGGTAAAATCAAACGACAGCTTATGATTACGACCACCCGCGCCTTCACGAGTAATATCCACAGCTTTAACAATTTCTGAAGTTGTACATCATCATGAACTTGTGCTAAAAAGTGTGTGACAGAGCTTGCATATTAATATCTGTGCTTTCTCCAGCGGAAGAACAAGTACCATACTTTCATTACTTGATTGTCACCCACCAATATGTCATGCATTTTCCCACCCCAACTCTTAACATGTTGAAACAGTGCCATCCCAACAGCACTCCATATTAATTCTATTACATGACTAGTTACCCGATAATCCACAACCTATTAAGTTTATCCAGGTATTGTACACCTAAAGCAGCTGCAACATTAAAATGCCATACCCTGAAAATATTTTAATCAACATAGCCTTAGTATTAAATGTGTGCCATTGTCCCAAGAGAAGTTGCACATCATTATGTCGTTTTTTATAAGAGATCAGTATCCCATAAATAGCCTGATCACAAGCAATATATAATTTTTTATCATTACTGATTTCTAACTTGCTCTGATACATTTCACATGCAGCATGCTCATCGCGGTTTGGAGCTTTACCAGGTTCCAATATCACAATGTGTGGGTTTGAAATATTATTGCAACCCATTAATTATAATATATCATCATTGATTTTTGAATGTAAATGTTCCAAGTTAAATACATTATTATTATCTGACATAGCATTAAATGCCATCTCAAAGTTCATTAGAACATTATCAGTAAATGATGATTCACCAATTAATGGTTGATCAATAGATTCTTCCATAATATCATCAGGAGCATTTGGAAGAGTGAATTGTATTAGTAATCATAATGTTGCATGTGAAGTCTGCCATGGAGTGTCAGAAATATTGCCTGATTTAAATGTCAATGCTGCAAAGTCTATATATATATTGTCAATTACATCTAAATTAAACATATTAATATTAATATGTTGTGTCCCTTGGAGTATTTTTGATACAGGGTCTGCATTATGTGCTCACTCCAGTTCAAGTTGATTTTCATGTCGTTTGCTATAAGAAATAACTTTTGCACCATAAAGAATTTGTCACAAGTATGGCAATATAAATAGCTTTGGTTTCTGGCATATTGATGACATGATATGGGTGAGCCAGATTTTCGTTCCAGGAAAAGCTATTGTCAGTATCATGGAAGCAAATAATGTAAATGTAGTTGTTCTTGTTATTTGATCAGTGTCAATATCTTTTGATTATGATGGAAGGTTGTTGGTCTTTCTCATTCTGTTGATGGAAGTTAGCTTCCTTTTTTGTAATTCAGTAAGAAAGCTTGAAAAAAATTACAAAGAGGTCCAGGAAGTGCATCACAATACACTTTATAAGAGCTTGGCTCTTCTAACTGTTTTTGATTTTCACAAATTTTAGATATTAATATGATGATGCAATTTCTTTTCCCAATGCCTTTCCTATAAGCAATGGTGTTTCTGGAGTTACTGTATAAGTCAAGTTGACTTTTCCCAACTTGAAAGCAGTTCTAGCCAGTAATTTACTTGGCCAAATAGCTTCTGATGTATTGTCAACTTCTTTTGTCTGGTTATCCTTATACTAAGCTGCTCATGCTAACCAGCCGAGGGACGCATCACCATCATCACTTGGTTACCGAGTTGCTCAATACGTGCACACACGCATGGCGACTTATTTGACGTGTTATTACAACGTATAATAACAACTCAGAAGCACTTCCCGTTTTCTCTTTTATAAAATAAATCCAACCTGTTTGTTAGCATTTTGCTTCTTTCAAGTATCGTTCATACCAGATACTGTCAAGTCCGTACCATTCCTCAGTATATGGTGGTGGAACTCGCAAGATAATGTCCCGCGAGTTAATATTAACGAGGAAATCAGGATAGGTACAAGTGGTGCTATCTACGTTGCGAAAGTAGGCGGCAACGGCTAGGAACGAGTAACAAGAAGAGTAAAATATTGACGAATATGGAACTGCGAATGTCGAACTAACGTACCATGGTACCCTAAATATCGTTCGTCACTCATCGTGTCCAACTAATTTCGCGTTCTCGTGTCGCATGGTTTATAATAATAAGTGCAAGCTCCACATGACTAGAAATTGGTTTTACAACCAAGCAACATAGAACATGACAAGAATAAAAAGTTGTAAATGATACTGATAATTGGTTTATCTTCTCGGTTAACCACACCATTCCTCCTCATTTTATCGATCATGGGCAAATAAAGTTTATAACAATAACAATAATAGTAAAAATTCTTCCAGGATTCAGTTTGCATATCGGTGTGCAGACAATACGTAAATTGTGACAGTTGGTCACCAATAGCAATGCTCGGCACGAAATCAGTTTATTGATGATATCGATGGACATTGAGTATGCGCAACAAGTGACATCTGCAAGTATGTGGCTTTGTGTGATGTGCACAATGCGGGTTTACCTACCTTCCATCCATTGTAACACGACCAACCTAAAAAGGTCAAATTGTGGTACATAACTGGAATCAGTAATCGCTGTCTGGCTACATAAAGCGTAATTTCGTTCTTTTCGATTACGCTCAATTTGATTTCCCGTGTTTGTTACTTTGTTGCAGTCTGATCCGTAGCAACCATATATAGCAGCAGATGTCTGAAAAGCGGAAAAAACTGGAAGAACTTGCTGCCAAGAGGAAGGCAGAGCAGACGGACGAAATTAATCAAAAGTGAGTTCGGAGGTGTAGAATTATATAGTTAGCGTATACTAGATCAGTCTCTTTGCATTTGGGTAATAAAGTGTTTTTCGATACCGCTGTATACACATTTATTCAACATAATTACATGTACGATACTCATCAAATGGGTTGCTATTTGATATGTTCAAGACAAACGGGAAAGGTCAAGCCTAAACCGCAAGCACAAGCACAGCAAAAGCATAAAGCAGTTTCTAGCGGAACCTCCGCTGGATCTTCTTCCAAGAAGACTTCAGCTGGAGAGACAATGCGCTCTTCAGCTAAGCCTGTTGCGGTTCCACCCCGTACAAATGCCTTTAAACCTAAGCCTTATGGTGGTCGTCGGCTGAACGAGGATGCTTATGATGAAGGAGATGGCTTTGTAGTAGAAGATGACGAAGGTACGTTGATGTCGAATGACTCGGGAAAATAAAATTACGTTGCGATGAGTATTCTTACAAAAAAGCGAGAAGAGAAATCTGAGAAGAAATGTCTCACCATAAGCGCGCAAACTTCGGGGATTGTTTTGTTTATACGTGTATTTTGTAGTCTTTTAGTAGTTAATTGCTTTTGTAAGAGATTTTTTACATAATATTAGATTTGATGACTTGCTAGCTCAATACAGTTGCACCTGATCTTGAAATTTTTACAGGTGAAAGCATAAACGATGGTGTTCACAACTGATTTGGTGGCCTAACATATATATATGCATGTTCTGGTTTTCTGTAGATGAGATCACAACGTCATCAAGCGATTCAGAAAATTATACATCGGAACCATCAGACTCTGATGAAGCAGCATCTAAGAAAAGAAAGAAATCAAGCTCGACAAGATCAAGGAAGGTATAATGAATAGCAAGGCGATACTAAATTGATATACAGAATTGTTTTCTTGTCGATACTTTACGCGGGAACGTTTACTATAAATTGGCTTTTTTTCTTCACGTGTGCGTGTATTTATTGTATATCTAACTCTCAATGGCAACAGAAAATTAAAGGGAAGCCTAAGAAGAAAGTATCGAGTGATGATGACTCGGATGGTGGAGTACGACGAAAGAAGAAGTTAAAGACGATTGACGATGAAGTCTATGATAGTGACGAAATAAGTGAGTAGAGGTTGACTTCAAATTTTAATTGCCTTTGAATATCTGTACACCGCTAAGCCATCTACGGTCAATTGATGCAGAACAAGATGCTGCAGACCTAGACGCCTCTAATATTATAAAGGGTGGCAGAAGGACAAGAGGCAAGAAAATAGATTTTTCGGTTTTTGGTCCAGGTGAGAAACGAGTATCACTATGAAGTTTCGTTGCTAGTTTGTCTTTGCTTTATACCATTGACGACATTTATAAACAACGAATCGCATTAATAGATCCAGAAGACGAATGAAATTATCTTCATCTGTTATCTGGTCAATATCTCAATCTTCCCGTCATGTAAATATTTAGGAGGATATACAGATGATACCAATATGCTAACTCGATACTATGATATAATCGATTACAGCTCATAGCATTTTGTAAATTTTACAGCTGAAATCTTATCATCCCTTACTTCATTATTTGCTGTCGAGGTCGATGTTGGTGGGAATTATCTGCCATACATCAAGTTGGTTTATTAACAAGTACTCTGATTACTCATATCTCTTTAGTGCTCCAATGTAAACAAATGAATATTACAACTGAGATATAAATTTGCAATTGGCTCATTCGACTGAGTAGAAATAATGCTCTCTTCATATGTATATGTTTTTTCTAACCAAATGTAAACTATGAGATTTAATTCATATTAGAATTGAATTATGTTAGTTTAGTTTCAACTGATATAAAACCCGTTTACAGAGACATATATGTGTAAATATATCTGGTGTCAACTCTTTTAACGTCCCACAAGATTGTGAGATTTTAATTGATAAATAAGTATATAATAATTGTCATAATATCTAAAATCAAGTATCACTCCTATTTGGCTTGGCAGCAGGGCTTTTGTTTGAATCTTTTTCGCGACGAGCGAGTCTACTGACAAGTTCTTTTTGAATTTCTGCTTGCTTTCTAGATTCAATTAGAGAGTCCACAGATCTCAAACCATTAACAATATCTCTTGTCTTTCCAAAATACACTTCTTGAAGTGAATTACGCATTTTCAGTTCCATATCTTCAATTATACGTCCAATATTAGCGATATGGGCTTGTGGTTCATCGTATGGATAGTCAGCCTCAGTCTACACAAAATGTTACAATAGTAGAAGCAAACATGAGTCATAAGAATTTTAACTTTAAAACACATTTTCAAATAGATCCATCAACTACAAAGCGCTTACTTGTCTTGTCATGCTACCAGAGAGATTCAGTTTGCCTGTTTCTTCTCTATCGGTAATGGTATAGAGCATTATTGTTGATGTCAACTTGTAGTGTGCGTTGCGTCCTCTCTCCGTAGCTCTAAAAACGTGAATAGAATCCCATGCACCCTTCATCTTTCTTCCATCTTCGCCGACTGAAATGGTTAAGACTAACACTTAGTATCCATCTATGGACATAGAGCCAAGACACATAGAGAATAAATTTGTAGACATCTGACCTTTCTTGAAGAGAACAGCCCCAGCAAACGCATCAGTGTCATCCCAAAAATATGCAGAAGACACACCTTTTTCGTAATACCTAAAATAACATTGTAACATGAAAAAACACGATAGGATCGAAATATACGCACGCGCATGGCCGACGTAACTTTGAACCAAAACGCCGCTAGCTGAATCAATACTTACATTTCTCTATACGTATCGAACGCTTCATTAGCAGCTATTTCTAGCCTGCGTAATTTGGAGGAAGGCAAAGGGCTTTCGATTGAAGGAGGCTCATACTCGTTAGACCAAGGGGATCTATAGCAAAACAATGATAATTAGGTCAATGAATGTGGAAGAGCTGTCTTGTCATACATTTGGAACTAATTGACGTTTCATTTGTTAATAGTCATAATGGTCGACGTTTTCCAACTCGAGAAAGCGCGAGAAATGACGCTGAAATGTTGATCTATGATAACCTGAATATAATGGATACAAAAAAGAAGAACCAACAAACAAATAACATAGAGTAGTTTCGGTGTATTGCTTGAATTACTTACCTACACGAGTCACCATCCCTGTTAAACTCAGATACAAGATAGTCTCTGCCTTTAACCTTGCATCTCTGGACTTTAAGGGGCTGGTCAACGTTGTTGAGCAATTCATCTTGAAGGTGAGGGACTAGATCTATTAACTGAGACAAATTCTCTTCCATGTTCTGAGGCGGAAGACGGCGCATGAGGTCCAAAGCACAATCAAGTTGGTCGCCCTGTATTTACAAAGGCCTCAGATAAGTAATAAAGCCATATACATACATATATTTCTCATTTTGACACTTTACTACCACTTTCGCTCTATTATACAGTATTATGAACTAGCTAGGCCTTCGCTTGCGTTGGTAGAATAACCACATTCTCGTAACTAACCATCTTGTATGTCATTAACTTTTGAAAAAATTTTTGAATCGATGACAATTGTGCAGTTTCTGGGCAAAGATACCCTGTGCCTGTTGTAGGCAATAATCTATGCGTCTGGTGGCAAAGGGGGGAGATCGTATTGGTGGCCGCAAAGTCATTCACGAATGATCGGTCGCGATTGTTTCTCACGACATCTCGTGCCATGACTATTTATACAAACAGACAAGGGAAAGCACACATGAAAAGGATGATAAGAAACAGAGATTTTTTTTTTGTTCCGCTTCTACATCATTATGTTCCGAAATTGAATGATGCATTGCCACGTTGTGCGATGTCTAAACTTTGTATATGTTTTGGATCGAAGCCAAAATGGTATCGCACAGAATAAAGGGCGCTTGTACGCTATTGTTTTAGATTGGAATACTGATGTAATGACAGGTTTCGAACAGTTTGATCCTGCATACATGATTGATCGTCCCACTATCTGCCCCTTTTTTTTTTAAGATGAGTGGGGTTTGTTTGTATCTACATCGCTGTACGCATCTAACGATGTTGCCTCCGTATGACATGATTAAGATGATTCGGTTTGCAAGCATAAGAAGTGGGGAAGGTTTAAGTATTATTACCGCATCATACATATCCATTGTCCTGTCACAGAATAGATCTGTTAAAAAAAATCAAATATCCCCATAAAACCAATGACCTAAAACTCGTAACATGGGGTCGATTTGCCATACTTCAATTAATATTAACGACCTATAAACGATCTGTGTTCTCACTCGTGAATTAGAGACTAGCAATATTAAAGCAAGCGTATAACAGATGCTGTCACATCTGTCAAAAATCAACCTCCGAGCTACAGCGGGCTTTTACTACCAAAACATTGAAAGACCTTCTTCCGTTTCCAATATATGCGGTGTGCTACAAAGAATTATTCGATTATCAGGGTTGATTTATTTTTACCGTTGTTTACATCTCTGCATAGGATAATGTAAATTGTTCTTGCTGCCCAATGTCTTACTGAGATGTACATTTTGATCGATGGTATGTTCAAGAAACCAAACCGAATAAATATTTCATTTTTTTACATCGACTAAGAGACTCAAAGACTTTTATTACAAATATTCGAGCATTGTCAGCGTAAATTGATTTTCCGAATAGAATTATGAATCAATTAACTCTGACTGATACTTCTAATTCATTCCTTCCCAATCTCTATCAGTGATCAAGTGAAAATAAGCAAATACAACGCAATACGATGTTAATTCAATTCTCCAACGACATCCTAGGTCGAGGTGCATGTTCCAAATCACTCTATTATAAACCAGTCTGTTACCATGAAAAATGGATAATATACGGGGCTGCTGGTGTCCTGGATCTTGGTTCTGGAAAAACGGGTTGGCCGCGTGTGGGATAGCACATATTAATATTCGACATTGGTCATGTATTCTTGCATGATTTAGATAAAGCCTGACTATACGATCTGGATCTGATAAGTAAAAAACTTTACGTTGTTTTTTTCAATATAATTGCCTCTATTACTATCCATACATTCGGTGGCGGGCACTGTTTGCACCAAGTCTTGTATTCGTGCAAATGTTGGGGACTGAAACTAAATGCCCAACGTCAGGTCGAAGATTATTTGGGGCAGACTGCAACAAAACCGGACAAAGTGAACATTTGATTATGTGACATAAATGAGAGGCTGATTATAATTATTACTTTTCAATATGTCATCAGTCACACCAAAAAATTACTGCCCTATTAGAAGCATCCTAAAAAAAGTTCAAGGAGAAAAATTGCCCCTTATGTTTTGAAATTAATGATACCCAAACATTCCAGCAATATCTAGATCAAGAAAAAATTACTTATAAAATTATCAAATCATAGCTACTGAACGAGCATTAACACCAACATCAACACATGATGAACCAAAAAAGAAGCGAAAACTTGAAGAAACATAAGGAAAATAAATTTAACGTAAAAGCTTCTCGCCAACGTCTCCACTGATCGAACAACCCGTCAACGGAAGTTTGTTCCTTATTGATAAAGACTGCTCGATGAGCATTTCAAAAAGTCAAAACATATAAGAATAATTCAATTTTTTGTAAGCATAAATTTTATTATTTTGATTATTGAATGCGCGCTCTTGAAAATACGTGGTATAAATAGTACTAAAAGCACCAGAGTGATTGCATGGGAGGAAAATACTCGGACCCAAAGCCATTTATGAGTATAATATTAATGTTAGTATGTTAGAAAAAGTGCGAATAATTTGTTAACCAATTATTAATCGATATATGGAACTTGATAATCCAAACAATATTAATTCCTTGTGTAGAACTATAAAAGGTTTATGCACTATAGCAATTGGAATACGTGTTTATCAGTGATGAGAAATGTTGTTGAGATGATAACACTCAGAGTAGAAATCTACTTTTTGCAAAGTTACCATCTTAATATCTCACATGCTTTTTAACGGATTTGCCCAAGGAGAATGTGGTGCCTGCCTTTAGCAGAAACATTTCTGCCTGCTGATTGTGCAAAAAGTCTGTGGGATAGCACGTATCTTTAACAAAAATTGCAAATATTCCTGGATGCAATAACAATTCTCACAGGTCAGCAGCCTTAACATTTTAGGGAAAAGAGTTTATGGTGCTATCTTTTTGATGGTTTCCTCTGATTTTATCAAGGCCTTGCCTAGAGTTACGATATTTATATCTTTTCGCTGGCTTTTTCTCGGAGTAGGAATTAATATGCTTACCTGGTCCTCACTGAATTTGAAACCATCTCGAAGGCGTCTTCGCGCTTGATTCCGCTTTCTATCGTCTGCAAGGTCTTTTAGCAATTCAGAAGTATATTTACTAAGATCGGATGTACTCATTCCTGGGTTAAGATTGTATTTTCCAACGATTCTTGTTACAATAGCTGACATTTCGGTTATATTCACTTTATTAGGTTATGTCCACTTTGCTAGGTTATATACTATTACTATGCAAAATATTCTTTCAATTCGAAAATAATTATCGGTGTTACAGCAAAAATGCCAAATGTCGCGACCATATATCGTTTGAATATCAGGATACTTGATTTTAATTTTAGCATTAAGTTTTTTTATCACTTCTCTGCTAATCCCTTTACATCCCTCAAAACTAATATATTTCGAATTAGTACATTTGCGTGATATCTCCTCGACAGTTTTATTACTAATCGAGCAATCACCAAGCTTAAGATGTCTAAGTTTTGGGCACGAGCGAGTAATTTCAGTGATACATCGATCAGTGAGGCATATACATGAATTAAGACTCAGATGTAATACCTTTGGGCAATATCTCCGAAAAAATAACTCGGTAAATACAGTAATTACCCATTCTCTGCTACTACATATAATTATTTGTAAACCGTGTTAAATTAGGATTAATCCCGCCAATCTCTCTGATATAATTACTGAGCGAAGAAATATTTGTTTCATCTAATAATGTATCAGTAAACATTGGAATAGGTAGAGGTAGATAAGAATTGGACCATTTTTCATCTGAATATTCGATTTTAATTTTTGGATTGAGTTTTTTTATTACTTCTTTGCTAATTCCTTCACACCTCCAAACTAAGATATTTTAAATTAATACAGTTACGAGCTATTTCCTCGATAGCTTTATTACTAATGAGCAATCACCAACTAAGTTTTGGGCACAAGCGAGTAATTTCAGTGATACATCAATCAGTGAGGCATATATGTTCTGAACCAAATCAAAATTTGGCCCATTCTGTTTATACATTTTGATTGTGACGGATGACATCTGGAGTCACATCAGACCCTTGATCTCTTACAAGGACATCGATTAGTATTACAGTTAGATTTACAGCAACATACTAATGAGCCTTGTACTGTCGCTGAACTTTGGAGTTTTGCCGCTTGGGTGAGCGATACTCAGTTATTCGGTATATTTGTCAGCTCAGTGAATGTGGCACTAATACCCTCCATTTCGCATACTTGATTACAGTTTTCTAAAATGTCATGAGCACACCCAAGACGGTAACAAGCCTCTGTCTAAAACTTCTAGGACCTTACAGAGGAGTGATACATAACAATCGATGGTATTGGCTGGGTGACAAAATCGCACATCACATTGAATATTCAGTGTAACATTTTGATATGGGCCGGCCCAAGTTGAAATTTTGAAATGGGCCAAGGGGTAATTGGACCGTTTTAGAATGGGCCAAGGGGTAATTGGACCGTTTTAGAATGGGCCAAATTTTGATTTGGTCCAGAACATATGTTTACAATAAATCATTTTGTAGCACGTATGTTAGGTCACATTTTCACACGGGTAAATTCTGTCGATCAATTAGTAAACATTAACATGAAAAGGAAGATGTCGTGTATGGTTGTGCAAATAATCTAACGATCGAATGCAAATCACATGACACGCTTCGTTTTATGTTTTTATTTAAATTAGTTCAAAGCGTGTGCGTGCACCTAAATGCTTTCCGCATAAGTGAATAACAATCACAGTGTTACAAGAATACCCACACAGGGGCGAAGATAAATTGAACTACACCGATAACGAATCATTGTAGTCAAGGAAATAAACATAACCAACTACTTTAATATTTTCCGCTTTAGTGTTATTATGTCATTAACGATTATATATTTTTTTATATTCAACAATATTGTTATCATTCACGAAATTCATACTTGAACATAACCAATTTTATAGATTCGACTTCATGTAAACCGTTTGATGTACAATATGAAATATCGGCGATGAATCAAATACGGTAAAAGAAGCTCTATCAAATGATAGTTAAATATACATACGAGCCTTTTCAATGTCCTCTATGTCAACTACTTATCTTTTACATAAACGCATTTCGCCAATCTACTCATAGTAATTATCCATATAACAATCGCTTACGCCATACTTTATTAACTTGATTGAAAGAAGAGAGCCGCGCCCTTTCATCTACAGAAAAAACCAGGTTAAATTATACCCCATAACATATAACATTCAAGTCATACTATTATGTATTTTGCATATACTGTATATAAGCCCCTCGTTTATTCACTATTCCACGCTCACATAATGCTAGAAAACCTACGCGTGAGAAGCGTTTGTCGGCCGTTTTTGTGGTGAGATATCTTCGTTGAGTTGAGGTTTGTTTCTGCCTGCTGAAACTGGGTCAACGTCATCCAGCAAAATACTTTGCATTTAGTTCTTTCCTCATCTTCCTCGGCATCCCAGAAGTTGACTATATAAATCGTCATCAAATTTTGCGACTACTTGCAACTTGCGAAGCGTGATAGAAATCAAACTGTTGACCAGCTTTTCAAAATTATCTTCTCGGAAGCAATCCAGCCAATAAAAGGAAAATACGCTCTTCAAACACGAATAAAAGAGTTTCTGACTTGCTTCATCTAATCGAACAATCAAACTCCTTCAAGCAAAATAATATTTATTTACATTAACGTTTTTACACAAGTTATATCTTTTGTTCTTCACTACTATATTACACGCATATCTGAATTTGTTATAGCAAATTCATATACTATTAAACTTGATAGTATCTCCGTATGATTACTAATTCACTAAACCATGTGCTTTCACTATTGCCCAACAAATTAATTGTCATGGCATAATATATGCAGTAACATATCTCTGCAACAAACGCTATAAATTTTGAGCGCAAAGTTTGTTGTATGTCAGTTGGAATTTATGTCCATTCCAAATGGACATATGTCAGTTCAGAATAGACACATGTCTATTCCAAATAGACATATGCGTTAGAATAAAATCATAAAAACAATCAGGTAACAATATTATAAAGACATTAGGGTATTAACGCTACTGCATATAAACACATTATGATACACGGAACAAAGTATTTAATTAGCATTATCACCTTGACGATTGTGAGGGTGACAGTTTTGCGACAAGCATCTCGAGATATTGAACAATTAGCTTTACAGTTACATCTAATCTTTGTTTGATTGACCAAGTTTTGAGCCAACGCGGTTTTATCATTTTGACAGAATGCTTGAGTTACGGAATACGTCAGTGATTGTCTTCGTGTTTGTAGGCAAATACAATTGTGAATAAACATCGCTGATCAGACATATCATTGTGAAAGAGTGCTTTGAGTTCTGAATACATTAGCGAATAGTTCATTCTATTAACGGGAAATACAAATACAAATAGAATCAGCAAACACTGATCGACATACAATTGTAAATATGTTGAGCTTTAATAATGATGGCTCTTATATAGTGAAAGATGAGTGTGTAATAGACGTGGTCGTTGCGAAATATGCTTTGACTTACAGAATACGTTAGCGATAGTCTTTCTTGGCGCAGAATGTGAGTAAACCTATCGACATATTGAAAATTCTCAGGATATAATTTCAGGTATTTAAGACTTAACCATTTGGGTTTAAGTTTAGGGTGGTGCGACACCCATCTACCAGCAAAACGTCTCGGGCTAGATCGTGTGAAATTAACAGATCTGCAGTGCGCTTTATTACACTAATTATACAATTTGCCGAATCAAACATTTAAATTCAATCGATACTATACGTACGCTTGCAAACTCTTCAATCACATTCGCTGAGTGAATTTGGTTTGCGAATATTTGAAGATAATTTAGCATAAAACGCTAGTCTTCCTAAATTTTTCGACATGCGATGTCTTCAAAATAAACGTTCCGAACTTTCAATGTTTTAACGATTACATAATGACAGAAACAAAACGTTATGAAGTAGATGAAGGTGGAAAATATAAAGAAAAAGACATTACTAACAAGTCTAAAACTGGAATGTTAACTGTCACAGTAGACGGGCAGCAATTTGTTACATGCACAATATTACTATTGTATTATGAGGTAAAATTGTATGTGAGCAATATAATATAATAAGTAGTAATACCGCAAGTTACTTGCACTTATATAAATTGTTTATTTTTAAACCTACAAACTTTAAAATAGTTATGTCTTTATAACAAACCCAGTTGTTCATACTCCTGTATTTATGTCAATGAAACACTTTTATAATGGTGTTACCTGATTGTCTTTATTATTCCGAATGGACATACGACGAAATTTCCCAAAAATTATCTCCTAATCACCGTATACAAATAATTTCCCACCTTCTCAATCATTCTAGATGCTTTTTTAGCATGGGACTGCACCCCGCACAATTATCCAATTCTACTTTTGCTAGGCGAATATTAGCTAGTGTAACATTATAGTTTTTACTTGTATTTGACTTACTTGAGACAAATTTGGTAATTATTAACTAGACTCTGTTTTTATTTTTGGTGCATTGATCTACTGCTGATTATACACAGTAAAACTCGATAAGTCGGACACTCGATAAGTCGGATTTGGCCTAAGTCGGACAAAACCACTCAAACCTTTATTTTTTATATCTAAAATTTATTCGGTAAGTCGGACAACATATATAAACTGTCGTTAAGCTGTAAGTCGG